GCCTCCGGCCTTTGAAACGCGCTCTTCCCGCTCCGACCGTTTCGCTTAGAAACTGGCCATACTTTCGCATTCCGGACAAAGAGTTTAGCGTGCATTTGTCTTGAGTATGAGTGTGACTTGTTCTCCCAACAGCGTCCGAGCGAAACTCCCCGTAGCAGCGGGGGACCCACCACCACTCTCGTGTGTGCGAGCGTGGGGAAGGCGGTGTGAAGGACTGGATGGAGAAGCTGCAGGAACTAAGTCACAGGAAAAATATGTCGCGTTTATTTGTATTGTCAGTTGAAGACTTTGCAGTCCGGTGATTTTAATAACGAAAAAAAAAAAAGACTGACAAATATTCTCGTCCTTTCCCTGCACTCTAAGCGAGCAAAGGAAACTACAGTCAGGTGTTTGCGTTCTGCCTAGACACTCCTGGGCTGCTTTCTCCAATTTCTTGTATTTGACATTGCTTATTAGCATCAGTAGCTAAACTTCCCTCCTTTCTTTCATCTCAGACTGCAGTGAGCATAAAGGGAGCATATTTATATTTTTATTATCTTTACAAAAGAAACGATGAGTAGAAACTGAGGCAACAGAGAAAGCAACCTGAAAGTAACCTATTAAGATGAGGGCGTGTGCCTGACCAGGACTTATGGTATGGCTTCAGTCAAAGGGGGAGAGGAGAAAATCTTGAAAATTGCCTAAAGTTGCCTTTTTTAAAAATTGAAATTAGTAGGCCCTGAGAATCCACTGTCTGACCCATTCAAGTGCTGAAACCAGATAAATATTAGTAAAGGAATGATTGTTGTTGTGTATACTCTTCCATTGAAAATAACACATGTAATTTGTTCTCATACTTCACCACACAAATTTGGTGCCTATAAGTGAAAATGATTCTTTATAGAGCCAACACCAGTGGCATATAAAGAAAGGTCTGCGCACTCTAAGGAAAGGAACTTCTTTCCTCACTTGTTTCATCAGTGTCAGCATCACAGGTCAAATGACTGTCCAGGAAACCATAAGTTAAGCCCCACGACAAACTTGCTTTTCTTTCCCAACCAATCAGAGCCCCCTCATGATGGTCCTTCTTCGGCCTCAAGGCAGATAGCTCTTACCTTTCTCCGGCTGCTGGTGTGCATCCCTGAACATTGGCTCTCCAGTCAAACTGTCAGCACTCTTGCCCGATCTTTGTTGCCACCATAAGAAGGGGCTCATTTACAGAGTACAAATTAAGTTTGCGTGGGCAGCCAGCGAGCTTAGAGGCTCTCAATCAACAGGGAAAGCCAGACAACGAGCGCATGCGCAGGAACAATCTGTTAGGCTTACGCGTTGCCAGATCGTCGCCCTCAGAAGACTCCCAGAAGCCATGAAAAGGGGAATAGGCTGCTGCAGAGTTCCCAGTGTTTGTTTGTTTTTCTTCAAGTCTCCAAACAGGGGCTTTGCAAATAAAGAAGTACAGTTCAAACAATAGGTCATTCTAAAGAAGTGTTTAGAGAGGCTGTTTCATGTAATCTGCTTAGGTGGTCCCAAGTGATTTGGGAGGCTTCTTAGACCAGCGTTGGGGCCTGCTTGCTGACTTTCTGCTGCCCTGCTCTAGCTTTGCTGGAAGGCCTTAGAGTGATCCTAGAGTTGAACTCAATCTGTCCTTTTGCTACGAACTTCATTCATGAAACATATTTGGTTGAATCCTAAACTGGAATAAAATATTCAGCCATTAAATAAGACACCGAAGAAGTTGTTAGTGGTTCCCACAAAAATTGTTTTAGAAGACATGCAAGTTTCACGTGTATTTTAATGAAAACTCTATACAAGAGTGCTGCACTGAGTTACTGCGTGGTAACAAGGGTTAGTTACATCGAAAGCCCAGGGGAAAATTTCTCTGTAAAAACTCAAAGCTAAGTAACATTACCAAAGGACCCAAATCCACAGAAGAGATTGTGTTATTTACATTTACCTTCACACTAAGTACTTGAGACGCGTTTTAAAACGACGTCTGAATGCAGATGGAGTGTGCTTCCTTGATAGTTGAAATGGTATAGTAAAAGTTGCTTTTGATCAAATTTGAGAAATCAATGTGTGTTAATATGTTAAAACAATACTTACATTTTGCTTAAAAATACAACTAGTAACAATCTGGGGTGAAAAGAAAATATTGCCAAACGTGCAATGGCGTAACATATCATGAAGGTAAAGAAAAGTGTTCAATAATAGCAAAGGTAATACTTTTCTATGAAGACTGTTGGTTTTGATTAGCACCTTTTCTGTAAGTTTAAATCATTATCCGCATATTTTAAGTAGTGAAATTGCAACTGCAACTTCTGAGTGAAAGTTCATTTTCAGCCTCTTAAGCTCTTAAAATCATTTAAATCACCTGTTATTAAGCTTGTTACCTAGGAACCAAATGAAAAATATCAGAGCAGTGGCTACATAGTTATTAGGCATAGAGGAGTTCTTGTTTTTCCATCAACTTCTCATTTTTCTCAAACTATATTTTCTCCTTATGTCACATAAAGTTGGATTGTGTATAATGTCGGAATGCATTCAGCCTTTAATTGTAAGTGCCACTAAAGTTGCTGGGAAGAAGTTTAATATTGTTTTTTAAATTTTTTGCAGTATTTTATGAGTAGACATTATGGTGAGGAGATATGAGGAATATTGAGACTAATGAATTGTTTTATTTTATTACACTACAGGCTGGCCAACTGAATTATGTGGATCCAGCTACTGGCTACGTGGTGCTCACAGAGCTCGCCCACTTGCAGAGAGGCAAATGTTGTGGCTCTGCCTGCAGACACGTGAGTGGCAATTCTCGAATTATGGCAGCAGTTTTTGGTGCTTCTGTAACTTCGTAAATACTTATTATTTGAACAACAAGTCAAATAAAAAAGCCAAATAGACCTGGAGTGCACTTTTCACAAGCTACTTTAGCCAAGGACAATGAAGTTCTTAGTACCAACATAGGGCCCTTAAAGTTAATGGAATTTTGTAATGTTTCACTGTGAGCATCAGTTCCTTGACAATGCTGTGATTTGAAATTCATGGGAGCTCTTTATTACAAGGAAACTTTTCATGAGGTTTCACATAGGCATGTACTAAGAGGGCAGGAAAAGAAATCTAGAATGTTGCAAACTAGATCTCAGAATACATTTCTTTTTTTTTAGGTATATGAATGGCAACTTGCCCAGCATTGAGAGGTTGGTTTCTTTCACATGATAGTGATTTTTTTCTTTTTCCCCCCTCCCTTCCCTTCTCTCTTCCTTTCCACTCATATGAAAATATTTTCTGTTTCTCTTTTCTAGTCTATGTTTAAAATAACTGTGAAGCTAGATTTCCCCAAATTTAGTGCTATACATATAGTTCCTAAAAGGTTTATTTCAATGGATACATCTCTGTGTTTACTAATTAAGAGGAACTAACTACTCCTTTCCTATTTTGAGCAAAGAATAAGCGGGAATAAGTGCCACACTATTACTTTTTAAAGTCATAAATTGTTAGAGAGTTGAGATTATAAAGATGTAACAACCTCTGCTTACAGAACACTTTGTATGAAGGTGTTATTTCCTTCAACTGACCCGCTTTATAATTAAAGAATAGACACTAAATGCATGTATAACTCCAGCCAGTATTGAAAAATTAAACCTTCACTTTTATGTATGTTCCTATGCCCTTAGCTGTTTCTAATCAAATGCATAGGAGCGTTGTGTAAATTGAGGACTTGAGGACTTTCTAAGAGTGGGTTTTTGAAGTAAAAAATTCTTAAAGTTGGAAGGATGAATTTAGGAAATGGTTTTTGGACCCTAATTAGGACCATTTGCCTGAGGTTGCCAATATTTCCCCTCTTAGTCTAAGGGACCCTATAGATCAAATGATCTATACAACGTTATTAGCAGTTTCTTTCTTTTCACCATGAGACGTGTACTTTTTCAGGGTGATTGGTAAATAATTCAATAATAATTTCTTTTATTTCTTCTGCAGTGTCCATATGGCCAAGTCAATGTTAAAGATCCATCTAAAAAGAAGCGATTCAATTCATATTTTTATGTTTGACAACAATTTCATCTCTGTTCTCTGTAATTGAACTTGTGTTAAAAACAAAATAAAGCCCAAGTTCAGAATTGGTTTCTGTGCTGTTAGTATTTGGACACTAGTTTAATGTTAAATACATATATTAAAAGAACATCAATAAAGTGAAGAATCTAGCAAATGTTTGTTTGTTTCTGAAGTGGCACATTGATAGTTATTTTTGTTTCTTTTTGCTTCATTATCAGACACATATGTTGAAGAAAGAAAATAATGATTGTTCCTTTAAATAGGAGAAATCGGGTCACATTAGTAGCTCTTGATTTTTCTTAGTCTCAGTTTTCCTACTGTTTTCTCACCAAGGAAGGTTGCTGGCAAATAGAACAGTTTTAATACATTCTTCATTTTATTTATATCTTGAGCTATAAAGAGATTAATATAATGTATTGTGCAGCATATGAGGACCCAAGAACTACCATCCTGCATCAAGAAATGCTCTCATCTTCCATCTGTTCTTTCAATAAAATCTTTAAATCATTTTGACTGGAGGGTCGGTCTGCTAAAGATGGGTCGCTTAGACCATTCTCTCTTCTCTCCCCCACCCTTCCCTCCTCCATTGCTCTGGGCACTTTCTAGGCAAATCTGTCTTTGAACATTTTATTAACTTTACATTCATTCCTTTCTCTGTAGTCTTGCTGCAGTGTATCAATCACCAACCTGAGTCAGAAGCTCCCAAAGACTACTCATTCTTTCCACACCTTCTTCTCTGCTTGCCTGTGAGGCCAGCAGCCCCCAGGAAGCTCTTTCCTAGCCAGAGGTAGCTACCACTAAAAATGAGGCTGCTGCCCTTTTGGAAGGCTGGTTTTACCCAGACCTAAGTCACAGGCCTCTCCCCAGTGAAATCTGAAAGGTTCTTGGACACCTCAAGGGACTACTTCAGGCTCTGCCTGTGGCCTGGAGTAAGGGCTTTATAGATCTTAAGCAACCAAAAGGTTTTGGTACCTTCTCACATAGTAGGTTCAAAAAAAGCCCTTAACTGTAAAATAAGTGAAAACAAGGCCACTGAGGTTCTAATGTTTCTTTTGCTTATGACTTCTTTGGGTTTTTCAAATGTCAAATATTAAATTGTCTCCAAAAAACTGTTGGCATTTTTGGTGCCCCAGTTTAGATGCAACTCTAACCATGGTGCCCTAAGCAACACTGCTGATAAGCCTTGTGATACCAAGGAGGTATCAACTGCTTCCTTGGTTTTAAGAGAATGGTGTCTATGGCCTGGTATTGTCCTATCTGGAAATTATTTTGAGAAGGAGAATAGAGAAGGTAATCAGCATTATGATCTGGAGGCAGTTAGCTTTTCCAGAAAGGCATACTGATTCCTGGGATCCAGTTTCCTTTCCATTCTTTGGTCTAGAAGTGACGAGCTATCTGTATGTTTCCTACTAGATTTGAAGATTTACAAGTCCATTTCTGGGTTGGGGATGGAGCATACATTCTTGCAGCCCCAAGAAGAAGAGAAGGAAATGAGAGTCTAACCAGGCATCTTTCTGGAGAAGCAAGGCAACTAAGAAAGGAAATGCATTTTGAAAAGGTAGCCAATGTAAGACTGTTTCCCTTCGCACGTGGAAGTAATGCAGGAGACCTCTCCTTCCCACAGGCAGACTCTTTCCTCCTCCCTAGGGCACTTCCTGCAGTAGGGAACTGGCCCAAGAAGAAAGATCAGTCCTTCACAGAGAACTCTTAAGTGGAACCTTTGGTGATTCTTCCTGGCAGAACTTCAAGCCTTATGGGCAAACAGCAAAGGAGTCTCTGGGGCTGGGGGCTGGGGTGGGACTAAGGGAGGCAGGGATGCTCTTATTCTTTCCTGCACCAGAAGCCTAAGTCTGAAGTTCACTGTGGTTCTGGAGAGATGCATGTGAACCACATGACAGGGGTGGCAGCCGGTAGAGTGCTCCCACATTAAACACAATATGGCCACATAAATGGGCCTCGCTGCAAGAGGTTTAAGCTATATTGTATTCACACGTTGTAAAGTAAAATTCAGGTTTCTTATTAGGTGTGTGTATACAAACACATGTGGATCTCAAGAAGTAGAGACTTCCCAGTTTAAACCAACTCTGATGCTGCTCCAGTTTCAAGATTTTTGGAAACCCCTGGGCTCAATAAATCAATGGAGATTGATTTCTAGATTGTTTCTAACGTGCAACGACCCACAGGAAACTGGAGGATCTTTCTGTGGCGGTTACTAGGGTCGGGAGTGAAGACGCATTCTCCAAGCTGTAGTTGGGTCTTGGCTGGGGCAGGGCCCTGAGCGCGGTAGTGTTCAGGCAGGTGGATCGTGATGCACCCTCTTCTCTCTTCAGAAATCGCGGGGATTATGCGCAGCAGGGAAGAGAAGGGCTTTTATTTTTCGAGTACAATTTAAGGCTCCCAAACAATGTATGTGTGGAACAGATGGGCTCCTCAGAAGGGGAGGCGCTCTGGACCTGGTGCGGGTCTTTGTTCTAGCTCAGCCTTCCCTTCTCCAAAGGCATTTGCAAAGTCTTCCGCATACACGGTTCCACCGTCCGAACTCTGTGCGGCTTAGATTTGTCTTCAGACAAGGCTGGGGAAAGAAGCTTACTACCAGATGAATGGCAGTTGCAGGATATCTTCCTCTGAGCACTTTAAGGTCACACAGCCCCTGGCCAGCCTAAAAGGAAATTCCGCCTCCACCCCTTGCTGACACCTGCTATTTCATCTTCGCTACATTAGAGAAATGCCTTGAGTTTGTGAACTGGATATTTGTCCTTGGTGGAGGATTTAAATATCGGTGCCATTTCCCCCAATAATTAAAAAGTTACTCCTGGATGCCAAAACTATCCCTTTCCCCCAAGAAAATAAAATAAAGAATGAAAGTCAGATATTTAAGTGCGTGTGTGGGAGGGCAGCCCGCACCCACTCGCACGCCTCTGTGAAGAGCCTGATTGCTGCGATGGAACAACCCAAATCTGTCTTTAGCTAGAGATTGGGCTGTGCCTGGACCGTCCAGTTATCCTGGACTTCAGGATACCCCGAAGTGTGCTGGGTGTCTCCGGAGCTGGGTTGACCTTCATCTTCACAAACGGTTTTGAGGTTGGGCTCATAATGCAAAAGTTCAGACTCACCTCCCTCCTTCCTGGAACTATGGGCGTAACAGAGCCCCAGGAATCATGGACTCTAGGGATA